TTATTATTATTACTATTACTATTAGAAAATAATCATATGTTATGTAGTAAGGTGGAGAGCGGGAGAGTGCCTAATAAGCGAATACTTGTTTATCAAATCAACACCGAACACACACGAAATAGAGACGTAGCGACGCCTTTACCGTTTATATATCGAATTACAATGAACAAAGTCGACCTCGACTAGATAAGATACATAAATCAAATTATGAAACTGTGTGAATACGTATTCTCATATGATTATGAGGAACACATTGTGCTCGAAACGTCTTCCAGTTAGCAATACTGCATCACTGTGTGTTGTATATGCAATGAACTTATCTAATATGGAATGATAATTTGTAATCGCTTTGAGCATAAATCTGGCTGTTTCTGTGCCAATGCATTCGACTTCACAGCTGTAGGACATGATCACTATGTGTCGTAAAGGATGTTCTTTGATTCTTATATTTAACCTTGAATAGATCAGATGACAGTGACAGATAGATGTAAATCCAAATATAACATTTGAGGTCGATGAGTCATCCACTGACTCTAGTTCACTCACTTTAATCTAAAAATTTTACTCAAGCCTGTTATGTTCTGTGGCTAGACAAAATTATACACTCAAGGTCGAATGGCTTTGTTTCACAACACACTAATAATATTGATTAGTCAGGAGTAGCTAAAATCTGCCCTCTGTTGATCTCTGTTGTCTTCCCTTCTTGTGATAGATTCAAATGTGATCACGTTCATGTTTGCAAGTACGCATGCTTGCCTTGTAGGCTTGCATGCACACCTTGCATGATTGTAGAAGTGTATTATTAGTGGTAAGATGAAAATCAAGCGGATAGTAGTTATATGTTAATAGTACAGGGATGAAATCACAAACAAACTCAACTAAACACAACAAAATCAGATCATCATTTAGAGACATTTTCATCTCAATTAATTTAGGTTTGATTGCGTTGTCACACCTAAAGCTATTTAATTTCTTAAGCTGAGGTGAAATTCCCCCTAGCCCCCATTCATCATATTTCAAATAAATCTCCTTCGACTTGTCACTTCCTACGTCAACATGTAGATGATACAGATACAAGGCTGTTGTGGCCTGTGTTAATCCTTGCAATGCATATCTCTGCAGAGATCTAATTTCTCTTTGAGAGCACTCCACGATGCACCTGATAGTGCTGAGTCGGGTAAGGCGTTCCAGTCGTCGACCATTCTGTGAGGGAATCTAAATTACACAGGTATCTTATTCATCGGCGGTTTGATCACCTCCTATGGTGACGTCGAAAATGTGTGTTAGAAGGATAAACTGATTAGAAACGTGAATCACAAAATCACTCCTCAATATACAGTATGACGGAATTAGGTCGCCTCTCCTCCTTCACAATGATAACGCACAGATATTCGAATGCTCCATTCTCCTCTCATGGATAAGGTGTGAGATATCACTGACTGATTTCATTCCTACCCTCTGTACTCTTCCGAAGATATGTGAAGCCTTCCTGAAGCATCATATCACCACTTGTATGCAGTATGCTAGATGAAGTCTGATATACACTGCATATACCACTTTCACCATACACTCATCTGATCGTTTGAAGTCCCTGCGAAGTGATCATAGCATTCAAAACACGGCTGACAATAATTCCTATATCCTATTGTCCGTTAACTTCTGGCAGTTCGGTGTCACCCATATCCTCCTTCTAGTGTGTTAGCACCAAGTCTGGAGTAGGAGGATCATGTTCACGGTCGTCTCGTGTTGTGTCATGTGTATGCTGTACAAGTGTCCATTCAAGGATAGTCAGTGTACATTGTCTATTGTAATAGGTGAACAGCATTGTGGATGTTAATTCCTGTGCAATAATAATGAAATATGTGGCATTAAAGTCACCTACTATTAGACACCTGTTTCTAGGCGTACGAAGTGACAGCTACAAAAATATTCAATGTTTTACACTGTCATGATAGAAAGCTGATTGGACTGGTGATTTGCTCAGAAATGATAACAATCCATACTTACTCAACATTCTAAAGTCAAAATAGGTTTCGGTAATATCATTAAAATCATAACCATATTGATTTCAGGTGAAATCAGGTCACACATAGACTGTACAATGCACTAACAATGTTGTCATCATTGTTTTGTAGCCTAAATGATCCATAGATAATTAGTTATCTAACTAACTGGTCTGTTAACTAGTCAGGTGATGACATAACATAATGAGAATTTCGGAGATTGATTACTGCAAATGTGAAGCAGCAAAATATGCATTGACATTTAACTGGCGATGAATGAGTTTCAGTCTGTCAATTTCTACATTGAGAATTCATGATAATCATTGTCTAATTTTACAGTGTGTTAACTCTTGCATCCCACCTATCGCTGTTCATTGCTCCTCCTTACTTTTTCCTGAGTTCCTCAAGAACGATTGTGTCATACTTCGAAGGGTATCAATGGCTGTCATTAGGGCAAGAACTGTCCCTGTAGTTCAACTGGTTAATATTGTGGTCAACAGATATGTGGACTCATACGAGAAATCGGAGAGAGCCAGATTGTGTGACACTCATTACCCTCCGTTTGGAACGTATCATCAGTGAGGTGGGAAAATGTAATATTGACCTATTTAGCGTGCCTTATGTTGATAAAGTAAATCAAGTTCGAACACCGCTAATTAATTCGCCTCTTCCCAATTTACACATATACAGTTCTAGAGGTGAAATTTCTTTGCGGTTTCTACTACCGACTTATATAGTCCTTCACACCATAATATATCGTCTGCTTCATCACCACTATAAATAAATTACAAAGGTGACTCTGGTCGAGTTTCACCTCCATGAAATATCTACATTGCATAAGGTGAAATAATCTCATTAATTGATAAGGTCGTTTAACTAAAACTCGATTATTGACATTCAACTAAGGCAATAACAAGAACATGCAGGAAAGTAGTGATTGTTACTGAATGATAAAGAGAGAAAAGCATTTCAGAGTGAGTCAGTATGATTATAGGCGACATGACGAATAGGTCAGAGGTCATCCGACAGAATCAAGGTCCAGTGATAGAGTATGACCCACACTTCTACAAACAAGTGACAATTTATTCACTTCGGGACTGACGAAATACACCTATTCATCACTCTGAACATGACTAAGTAATGGTGTTGTCAAATGTGATCAGTTGACATGACACACTATCACTCCATCACACCCAGTCAATATACAAATGAGGTAGAAGAATAAACATGGTCAACATTGACTTTTGAGGAGGATAGAAGTGAAGTGGATGAATTGCAGATGAATTGTAGAACATTATCGAATAGGTGGATTGATGTTAGCAGTTATGAATCAGTAGGTTATAGGATGTCAAAGACCCAGAGTACCAGGATCACGATGATGATGAAGATTTAGATTCCGTATTTTCGGTCTTGTCTTTCGCATGTTTCACATGCATGTCGTCATTCATATGACTAATAATGTTATTATTCTATGCGTCAGTGTCATGCCCATTGTCTATAAGACGTTTTGCTGCTGGACATTTTGATACGATGACATCGGTTTATATGAACCTCTTAGGCTAATGCTCAATCATCAGAGGATTCTTTTAAGAAATAGACAGAAAATATTGACAAAAACTGACATCCTCTTAAAAGTCACTGAACATCTACACTAACAAATTCTTACGAACTAAATCTTAGATTAGATAATGAGGGCAAAATGTTTAGTTTTGACATTGTCAGTCTATGTACCAGTATACCGTTAAATATGGCTATAGAGGTAGTCCAATACGAACCCATTTCTGACCAAGAACTTGAACTTATAAAGAAAGTACCACTGAAGAATATAATGCTGGGAGTACAGTTATTCCTGACTTCCACAGTATTTAAATTTCAGGGGAAAATATACAAACAAACTGAGGGAGTTTCCACAGGGTTACCTACTTCCCCGGTTGTGGCATATATATTCATAGACTGATGGGAAAACCTAACGACTGGAACGTTCAACCCCACTCCAAAAGTATGGTGGAGTACACTGTACTTAGAACACAGGATATATATAGATTTTGCGAACACATTAACCCTTTACAATTAACCAAAGCTTTAGATCTCAGACAATCGGAGATATCGGTGACAACATATCGACTAACTCAATTTTTTGTTTTCACATGAATCTGAAACTCTGTTAAAGTCAGACATAGCTCCACTCACACCTCACATCTATTCCCCTATTCCTAGTTCAGTGATGATAACTCTCTCTACTTCGTCACAATTCCCTTCAGTCATTCATCCATTTCTGACAACTACTGGAACTCCCATATAAATTCGATCTTGTCAATGCGTTGTAATTGCACCATAGGTCGATTAACTTCTAAAGTCTACTCAACGACAACTATGAACATCTATCTGAATAAATCCTAATCATCATTCGTCCACATCACTTGCCTCTTCCTCCTCTGTCTCACTTTCTCCACGAAGTGCAATTCACAGTCAACTACTAGTACTCCTATCAAAACACCAACCTCAATGTGCCGACTTCACTACTCATGCATCAGACAAACCGAACCATCACCTTACCTTACACACACAAACCCGCCACAACCTACAGCACGAAATACAGCGCTGGACACTCCAACTACCTACCTTGAACACTTCTCCTCTTCAGATGATACGAATCACGATCACGCTCGTCCTCACAAATATACTTCCTAATGGATCGCGCGGAGCAACACGTATATCCAAAACTACTCACCCACCCATACTCATTTCACTTCCCTCGCAACATACACAAACACGAAACCTTCACGTTTTACTTCGCTTACATTATCTTACGTGAAACGACTTCATAACTATAACTATATACGCAAGCATCTAACGAAAACAGCTACATATACGCAAATTTCACACAGCCGGCCTAACAACCTTACTAAACCCTGACTAACGCCCACGATATATTACAATCTATTTATCACAACTAACGAAGACACAATACACAAAGTAAAACAAAGAAAGACATTCTCGTTGTTTAATAAATTTGTTTATATCAGCAAAAATAGTGTGATCAATTATACATCATTCAAAAGTTTATTTACATTACATCAAAAACCCTCGTCTGATTGATTCTCCTCTGCATTCGTATCACTCGCCACCTCCGCATAATCTCGCTCCAGAGCAGCCAAATCCTCACGCGCCTCTGAAAATTCACCCTCCTCCATCCCTTCACCAACATACCAGTGCACGAAAGCACGCTTCGAATACATCAAATCGAATTTACGGTTCAAACGTGACCACGCCTCAGATATCGCTGTCGTATTGCTCAACATACACACTGCACGCTTCACCTTAGCCAAATCACCGCCAGGAACAACCGTCGGCGCCTGGTAATTGATACCAACCTTGAAACCTGTAGGACACCAATCCACAAATTGAATACACTTCCGAGTCTTGATACTCGCGATAGCTGAATTCACATCCTTAGGAACAACATCACCACGATACAATAAACAACACGACATGTACTTCCCGTTACGAGGATCACACTTCACCATCTGATTCACTGGCTCGAAACACGAGTTCGTGATCTCTGACACACTCAGCTGCTCGTGGAATGCCTTCTCCGCTGAGATGATCGGCGCGTATGTCGTCAGCGGGAAATGGATTCGAGGATAGGGGACCAGATTCGTCTGGAACTCGTTCAAATCCACGTTCAGTGCACCACTGAATCGAAGTGACGCTGTTATCGAGCTCACCACCTGGCCAATCAGACGGTTCAAGTTCGTATATGATGGTCGGTCGATGGTCAGATTACGACGACAGATCTCGTAAATCGCCTCGTTATCCACCATGAAGGCACAATCTGAGTTCTCCAATGTTGTGTGCGTCGTCAGAATTGAGTTGTACGGCTCAACAACGGCCGTCGAGATGTGTGGAGCCGGATATACAGCGAACTCCAGTTTCGCCTTCTTCCCGAAATCCACCGACAGTCGCTCCATCAGCAACGACGTGAAACCCGAACCAGTTCCACCTCCAAACGAGTGGAAGATCAGGAAGCCCTGAAGACCCGTACATCTCTCCGACAGCTTACGTATTCGATCCAACACCTCGTCTACCAACTCCTTACCCACGGTGTAGTGACCACGTGCGTAATTATTCGCCGCGTCCTCCTTTCCAGTGATCATTTGCTCTGGGTGAAACAACTGCCTGTACTTCCCGTGGCGCAAGCCGTCGATCACTGTCGGCTCAAGATCCACAAACACAGCACGAGGGACATAGTGGCCAGAACCTGTCTCGCTGAAGAACGTGCTGAAAGCGTCATTCCCATCGCCACTCGACATTGGCGACTCACTCGACAGTCGTCCATCCGGTTCAATCCCGTGCTCCAGACAGTACAACTCCCAACACGAATCGCCAATCTGCACACCAGCTTGACCAACATGAAGGCTGATACATTCACGCTGAAACAGAATAGATCGGAGAAGCCAACAGATGAACTGTGATCAATTGATTCTATGAAAATTTTATAACTGCCAACTAAAACTCTAATAATGCGAATCCAACATAACGTTGGGTACCAATTCTGTTAATGACTCATTCAAGCAGCCAGTTCCCTGACTTCGAGATACCTGCCTAATTTGACATTCCACTCATCCACGGACATTTTGCAGAGATTTACAACCAATCTATGTAGATCACTCAGATACACACCGAACAACCGATAGCAACACAATACGGGTTATAGGTGGACAAATATTTTAACTTGAAATAGATCACTCCTGCTCACATTCTCAGTCACTACTCATCTGATGCTAAACAACTACGGGTTACTCTGAATTATGGATTCCATGAATATACGACTACTTACATCAGCCAACTAAGCAATTCTCTTAAATTACCACTAATGCAAAACACAACAATATCAACAACGTCAACAGCAATGAGGACAACGACTTACCATTATGTTTACTGACAACCGCTTCCCACAAGTACAGTCAGGTAAAGTAAAGTCACACCACGACAAATGAATGACCCGCTCCCATTCCACCGCGTTTATATAGCTGAACTGCATGATCTCAGCTGCTTACCGATTGGTCACTTGCATCTTTCATTCATTCATTCATTGGTCACTGTAATTCACACCACATTATAGTCAGTATCACTTGTCATTAGTTAATGTGGAAATTTTCCTTGTCAGACATCATCCTCCCAGTCTGATCTGACCTGATCTCTCATGCGATCTGATCTGAAAAACCTTGACCTTTCTCAATATGAAAATGCATGTGTGATGACGAAATTGTGGAGAATGAGATTGAACTGCCTGGTCATTGAAATGAATAGGTAGAAAATATTAACAACAACTAAATCAATTCGATGATTCCCGAGTACTTTGTTGACTTTGTTGGGTTGTCTGACTGAGACATTTATTCGAGTCTAGTTCTCAGCCTTTTCATTTTCCATTAAGCAAAGAATAAGTATGCATTATAATATAATGACTTTATCCGAAGCAATGATAATAATTGTGCAGGATGAAATTTTCAGAATTTGTGCTTCCTGCAACTGCATACTAGTATAGTATAGGACAAATAGTAGAAACTGGAATTTATTGGATTAGCGTGAATATTAACTCTGGTCAAATAAAGTATAATTACATATTTCAATAGTTTACACACAATGATAAGTTTTGTTATTGGTAATATTTCGAGCAAAATTACTGCCCGTGTTCACACCACTATTGGAATTGTTTCATTCACACATTTATGATTTGTACTCATATATATATAGTCCTTTACTTTTGCTCATTCATGCTTTTTTTTTTGTATTTAAGTTATATTCAAAAAAAAACATGAATGAGCAAAAATAATGAACTATATATATGAGTACAAATCATAAATGTGTGAATGAAACAATTGCAATAGTGGTGTGAACACGGGCAGTAATTTTGCTCGAAATATTACCAATAACAAAACTTATCATTGTGTGTAAACTATTGAAATATGTAATTATACTTTATATGATCTAATCCACAATGCTCAAACTTTTTACTGATATTAATTAACTCTGGTCTTTTCCCATCTGTATTCTAGCTCATCTTGTCGATACGGTATATAACGTAAATGTTAACTTTGCGTTCAGTGAAATTATATTCCGACTAATCTTAACTTGACTTATAAGCGCGTTTCGTGCATAGCTGAAGAGGTGGGGATCCATTCAGTGAAGCCTAGCTGATGTATTCATCAGAACAATTTACCATAGACACCTTAGTTAGCTGGCCATAAATTACTTTAATGTGTAGATCTTACAATATCCGCTTGTTCTCCCTCTGCACCACCAACAATATTGACACTGTTAGTTGGTCGACAATGCCTTGCAGGCCATAAGAAAGGAAGGAATCTGATTCCAGTATAGAAAAACATCCCCATTTAGACATTTAGAAAGCAGAAGGATTCAGTGAAGAAATATTTGCTCTTCAATTAGATCCTCGATTCACTATGGCTCTACTGTTATATATATATATATACATATATATATATGTATATATATATATATATATATATATATATATATATATTGGATTTTTATCACAATACACAACAATTTACCAATCAAGTGGCACTGATATGTGTTTGTTAACAATAATTAGTCAGTATCAACATGTCGAGGGGACGACCATTAACGGAGAAAATTAATGCACACAATTAAAACGTAGAAATAGTTGCAACACATGGATTCCGGAATGCATGATTTTGGAAAAATGAGGAGTAATTATGGAATAAATGCGTGTTTGCACAGGTTGATTAAGTAACGAGTTGAGAAAGAAAATAAAACGATTTGAACAAGGATAATTTGTAGCTAAGGTTGAAGTGGTCATAAGAATAAAATAATTTACAAAGATAACATGCAACAAAAGATGAAGTAGTCAGAAAAAATAATGAAATAACTTGGAGAATTATAATCTTCTAAAGTTTAGGGGGAGGTTCGCGAAGTTGTCTGATCTATACACTCATGTAACGATGGTCAGTATGAGGAAAGTGGCCGTATAAATTTCTTCTGAATGCACAGTATTGATTTTCTTCGTTGGTGATCATCCCATTGACTTGTTGATACTGACTAATTATTGTAAGGTGTGAGATATCACTGACTGATTTCATTCCTACCCTCTGTACTCTTCCGAAGATATGTGAAGCTTTCCTGAAGCATCGTCTCACCCCTTGTATGCAGTATTCTAGATGAAGCCTGATATACACTGCGTATACCACTTTCACCATACACTCATCTGATCGTTTGAAGTCCCTGCGAAGTGATCATAGCATTCAAAACACGGCTGACAATAATTCCTATGTCCTATTGTCCGTTAACATCTGGCAGTTCGGTGTCACCCATATCCTCCTTCTAGTGTGTTAGCACCAAGTCTGGAGTAGGAGGATCATGTTCACGGTCGTCTCGTGTTGTGTCATGTGTATGCTGTACAAGTGTCCATTCAAGGATAGTCAGTGTACATTGTCTATTGTAATAGGTGAACAGCATTGTGGATGTAAATTTCTGTGCAATAATAATGATATGTGTGGCATTCAAGTCACCTACTATTAGACACCTGTTTGTAGGCGTACAAAGTCATAGCCACAAAAATATTCAATGTTTTACACTGTCATGATAGAAAGCTGATTGGACTGGTGATTTGCTCAGAAATGATAACAATCCATACTTACTCAACATTCTAAAGTCAAAATAGGTTTCGGTAATATCATTAAAATCATAACCATATTGATTTCAGGTGAAATCAGGTCACACATAGACTGTACAATGCACTAACAATGTTGTCATCATTGTTTTGTAGCCTAAATGATCCATAGATAATTAGTTATCTAACTAACTGGTCCGTTAACTAGTCAGGTGATGACATAACATAATGAGAATTTCGGAGATTCATTACTGCAAATGTGAAGCAGCAAAATATACACTGACATTTAACTGGCGATGAATGAGTTTCAGACCGTCAATTGTTTCATTAAGAAGTTGAGATAATCAGGTCTCAGTCATTGTCTACATTTACAGTCTGTTAACCTGTCTGCATCCTACCCATCGTTCTTCATTGATCCTCCTTAGTCTTTCCTGGGTTGTTCAAGAAGGAATGTGTCATATTTCGAAGGGTATCAATGGATGTCAGTATGGCAAGTACAATTCCTCTAAATACACTGGTCAGATATCTGAACTCATGCGAGAAATTCGGAAGAACCATGTTTTCTGACAGTCATAACGCTCCGTTTGTAGCGCATCATCAGTGAGGTGAGAAAATGGAATATTAACCTATTTAGCGTGGATTATGGTGATACAGTAAATCAAGTTCGAACACCGTTAATTAATTCGCCTCTTCCCAATTTACACATACAGTTCTAGGGGGTTAAATTTCTTTGCGGTTTCTACTACCGACTTATATAGTCCTTCACACCATAATATATCGTCTGCTTCATCACCACTATAAATAAATTACAAAGGTGACTCTGGTCGAGTTTCACCTCCATGAAATATCTACATTGCATAAGGTGAAATAATCTCTTTAATTAATAAGGTCGTTTAACTAAAACTCGATTATTGATATTCAACTAAGGCAATAACAAGAACATGCAGGAAAGCAGTGATTGTTACTGAATAAGAAAGAGAGAAAAACATTTCAGAGTGAGTCAGTATGATTATAGGCGACATGACGAATAGGTCAGAGGTCATCCGACAGAATCAAGGTCCAGTGATAGAGTATGACCCACACTTCTACAAACAAGTGACAATTTATTCACTTCGGGACTGACGAAATACACCTATTCATCACTCTGAACATGACTAAGTAATGGTGTTGTCAAATGTGATCAGTTGACATGACACACTATCACTCCATCACACCCAGTCAATATACAAATGAGGTAGAAGAATAAACATGGTCAACATTGACTTTTGAGGAGGATAGAAGTGAAGTGGATGAATTGCAGATGAATTGTAGAACATTATCGAATAGGTGGATTGATGTTAGCAGTTATGAATCAGTAGGTTATAGGATGTCAAAGACCCAGAGTACCAGGATCACGATGATGAAGACTTAGATTCCGTATTTTTGGTCTTGTCTTTCGCATGTTTCACATGCGTGTCGTCATTCATATGACTTATAATGTTAGTATTGTATGCGTCAGTGTCATGCCCATTGTCTATAAGACGTTTTGGTGCTGGACATTTTGATACGATGACATCGGCTTATATGAACCTCTTATGCTGATGCTCAATCATGAGAATATTCCCTTCAGAAATAGACAGAAAATATTGACAAAAACTGACATCCTCTTAAAAGTCACTGAACATCTACACTAACAAATTCTTACGAACTAAATCTTAGATTAGATAATGAGGGCAAAATGTTTAGTTTTGACATTGTCAGTCTATGTACCAGTATACCGTTAAATATGGCTATAGAGGTAGTCCAATACGAACCAATTTCTGACCAAGAACTTGAACTTATAAAGAAAGTACCACTGAAGAATATAATGCTGGGAGTACAGTTATTCCTGACTTCCACAGTATTTAAATTTCAGGGGAAAATATACAAACAAACTGAGGGAGTTTCCACAGGGTTACCTACTTCCCCGGTTGTGGCATATATATTCATAGACTGATGGGAAAACCTAACGACTGGAACGTTCAACCCCACTCCAAAAGTATGGTGGAGTACACTGTACTTAGAACACAGGATATATATAGATTTTGCGAACACATTAACCCTTTACAATTAACCAAAGCTTTAGATCTCAGACAATCGGAGATATCGGTGACAACATATCGACTAACTCAATTTTTTCATATTTGTTTTCACATGAAGCTGAAACTCTGTTAAAGTCAGACATAGCTCCACTCACACCTCACATCTATTCCCCTATTCCTAGTTCAGTGATGATAACTCTCTCTACTTCGTCACAATTCCCTTCAGTCATTCATCCATTTCTGACAACTGGAACTCCATTATAAATTCGATCTTGTCAATGCGTTGTAATTGCACCAGAACCATAAGTTTACACAATTCA